CCCCCCCCGGCCACCGCGCTGGCCTTAAACTCAGTAAGGAGGAGCCTTGGTCATCGGGATGTCAGCTCCATGTTCACAGCTCAAGGCACATGGGTGGGGCATCGCTGTACTTTGTGGTCCCAGCATGGGCTACCCCTCCACACCGCAGCTAGAGCTGTACAGCCTTTGTCAGGGGCCCTAGGTGGGCTGGAGGCACTGGGAAACCAGTGCAGCTCTCCCTTGGTCCAGATGAGTCTGACTATCAGACTGAGTACGAGGAGGAGTTGCTGGGTACCCCCAGGGACATATACACCGACCTGCAGAGCACCGCAGTGGGGGACGACTCAGACTCGGTGAGCTTGTGGGGCCAGCAGAAGTGGGCACTGGGATATGGCTCTGGGCCCTGTGTATGGGGGTGGTCACGAGGTCGGCCTGCAGCTGAGGTCAGCTGCCTGATGGCACCCCTGCTTCCAGGATGAGCCCTCACTACGATGCCGGCATGTATGTCCAGCTTCCCTGTCCTCCTCCCAGGATCTCACCGTGCCCTCGTTTTTGGACCACAAGTAGTGACCATCTCTGCCACCCTGGGCACACTCAGCCTCTCCCACCCACGTGTCCCCATAGGGTGCTCTGCCTCCCTAACCCCACAGCCTGTGGTGTCCAGACCCTGGCCTCGATGAGGCCTTGCCCATAGCATTAAAGAATTAGAGTGAGTCTTGTCTGTATGTGTCCTGCAGGTTCATCTTCCAGGGCCCTCAGCGCTGTGGGTATATGTGAGGGGACAGCATGGGAGTCAGGCTGACCCTCTGCTGGACAAAGACCTCAGGACCACTCTCAGCTATGCAGTGGGACACGGTATCTATGATAGCAGCCAAGGCCCCCTGAAAACAAGGATGTGCCCTGGCCACATATGGCTGACCCAGTGCTTCACAAAATCTCCTCTAAAAATGGAAAGTGCACGTGCCAGCCATTTCTGCATCAGGAAACTATGCAAACTTAGAGATGTTTTGGGGTTTCAGCTCAGAATTGTCAGAAGGGACCTGTTCCTGGAAAGGTGGAGGGACAGAGAAGAAGCCAACAAAATGGATTGAAGGAGTGACTAGTGGGCCTGAGTGTGGTAGGGATGTAGGGATGGGCTGGAGAGACTAGAGATGGCACCTGACTACTCAGGTATGTGCATAGTCTGTGAGGAGCAAGGGCACCGCGTGGGAGGGCCCTGACCCTGGACACTACTGGCTTCAGTTTCCCCTCAGAGGCTAGCTTCACTCCCCCGTCCTCAGTGGAGGTGGGCAGGGCCCCAGAGACGTGCGGCATGCCTTGCACAGTACCCGCCCAGCCCCGTGATGACATGGGGCCGTGCCCCTCAGAGTCCTCGCCAGGCCCCGTGATGACACGGGGGTGTGCGCCTCTCAGAGTCCCCGCCCAGCCTTAACTAGGTAGGGGCGTGTCTCAGAGTCCCCGCCCCCCGTGAGGACATGGGGGGGCATGCCTCAGTCCCCGCCCTACCATTGACGACTGGGGGCGTGCCTCGCAGGATTCCCGCCACGCCCCGTGACTTCTCGGAGGGTGGGGCCTCCCGGGCCATGACGTCTGGTGGGTGGAGCCTCCCAGTCGCTCCTGGCTGCTGTCCTCGGTGCAGCGGGACTTGAGGGCCGGTGCGGCCATGCGGGGCCCGAAGCTGACCCCGACTCCAGTCCCGTGTTGGACCTCGACCCTGCCCTCCACTCCCGGCGCAGTCCGGATGCCCAGACGGAGGCGTTGGCGGGCGCGGGGCGCGCTCTGAGGTCGGGGATGCGCCGCCGCCTCGACCATGGGCGCCGTCGCCTCCAGGAGGAGGGCGCTGAGGAGCGAGGCCATGTCCTCAGTGGCAGCCAAAGTGCGGTGAGCGCAGAGGCGGGGCGGGGTGGCCGCAGTGGTGACCACCGGGCTCAGCCAGGGAAGGGGCGGCTGTGCAGCCCTGGTGAGTCGCCTGCCCTTGCTCGCCTGGACCCCCACCTCCTTCCCAGCTTAGCACCCCATTTCCTCCCTGTCCAGCACCCCCATCCCTGCCTACTCTCTAGCGCAGACCCCCCACCTCCTCCACAGCTGAGATCCCCATCTCCTCCTCGCCCAACACCTCCGTCCCTGTCCGCACCCAAACCTTCTTCCCCACCCGGACTCCCACCTCTTCCCCAGTCAACACTCCAAACCCGCCCCCACCGACATCTCCTCTATAGCCAGACTCCATTCTTCTCCCCAGCCTCTTCCCCTCTGCCTCTGCCCCCCTACCCCATGTAGCTCCTGCCTGCCCCACCGTCTTCCCCAATGCCGCAGCAGCTCTTTTTGTCCTAATGTCCTGCCCTTTCTACCACCCCCCCCCCAGTTTGTCTCTCCAGCTCCCCCTTTGCCCTCTTCCCTTCTTGTCCTTCTTTCTCCCCACAGATCATTCTGGAGTCTGTTCCCAGACCTGGGGAGCACCCCCACCCAGCCCCTAGCATCTTTACCACCAAAATTCCCCTCCCTTTCTATACCTACACCAAGTCAGGAGACAAGAGGGCCCCAGGTTGGAGTGGGCGCCTGGCCTCTGGAGGGGGAGGGGCCTTTCCCTCTCCAGCTTGTCCACCCCCGGCTGGGGAGGTCTGGACAGAAAGCAGCCAGGAGGGACAGCCTTTGGGTCTTGGCAAGATGACAAAGACTGAGGGGATTTCCTCTGGCAGTGGGCATGTTACAGGGCCAGACACCTCTCCTTGACCACACGCATGCAGTCAGACACACACTTACATGCACACAGGAGCAGTCATGCACAACACACACAAGCATCAAGTCCTCAGCTGATCGTCAGAGCCTGGAGATGGGGGCTCAGGAGCTTTGGGGGAAACCTTCAATCACTGACCTAGGCCTCTGCTGTCCGCCCTTCAGAGCAGCCCGAGCATTTGGAGAGTACCTGTCTCAGAGTCACCCTGAGAACAGAAATGGTGCAGGTATGGGCCTGAAGGCAGAGACGAGTGTGGGTTCCTGTGGTCCCCCACCCCGCAGCCTGGCTATCAACGCTCTGCAGGGTGGTGGTGGTGGTGGGTGGCCCTGAAGCTGCACAGGGTAGTGACTCTCGGCCTGATTCCAGGCCCCCTCCCCAGCAGTGCCTGGCCCAGAGCCCCAAGAGAAACATGAGACACTCGTTGCCATGGCACCACTCAGCTGTTGGCATAGCAACAGAACTCTTAGCATCCCCAGGCTGGTACCACTGCCTCTGGGGGCTACCTGGGGGGCTGAGGCAGGACAGTGGCCACTGCTGCAACTGGGTCATGCCCCCCTGGTCCCCACCACCTACCTACACAGGCCCCACCACAGAGGGTGGAGGAGGGACAGGAAGTCACTACACCCCCCACCCCACCCCCCACGCACACCAGGAGCAGGTGGCCCTTGGCCCAGCCGGAAGGGAGACAGTAGTCCAGAGGGGACTTGGGAACACCTTTTCAGAAGGTGTACAGAGGGGCAGCCCTAGCCCCCTCAATGTCAGGTCAGAGACCTGGAACAGGTGGGCTAGAGGTACACTGGGTGCCTCTTCTCCAGACCACCTGCTAGCTGATGCCTATTCTGGCCACGACGGGTCCCCAGAGATGCAGCCACCCCCCCAGAACAAGCGCCGCCTCTCCGTCATCTCCAACAGCCGCTATGAGGGCAGCTTGTCCGACGAGGCAGATGGAGAGAAGCCAGCTGGCGAGGGCCCTGAGTCCCGTGTGTACACCATCTCAGGCGAGCCAGCCCTCCTGCCCAGCCCTGAGGCCGAAGCCATAGAGCTGGCAGTGGTGAAGGGTCGGCGCCAGGGCGGCCATCACCACCACCATGCCCAGCACCCTCGTGGCAGCCCTGGAGGCAGCCGTGACGACCTCAGTGGGCCCTGCCAGAGCTGGGCAGGCAGCCAGCAGGGGACTAAGGAGTGCCCTGGCTGTGCCCCGCTGGCCCCTGGCTCCTCCCCACGGGCCTTTGGGCTGGACCCACCGCCCCTGCCTGAGTCTGCAGGCCACCGCAAGAAGCTGGAGAGAATGTGCAGTGTGGACCGTATGTCAGGTGAGGGCTGGCTGCTGGGTGTGCTTGAAAGCTCAGGTGAGGACACTGGCATCAGGTGAGTGGGTGGGCGACAGCTACCAGGAGTCGGAATACTCAGGTTAGCACCCACAACCCTGAACAATAGCCTGAGTGCAATGAAATCTGTGCTTGGCAAGGCCCACCTATCTGGATAGCTTCCTGGAGACATTGCCACCAATCAGGGAGGGCTTCCTCGAGACAGAAAACTGGGAGAGTCTTAAGGACTGGGCAGGCCAAAGTCATAGCTAAACTTGACAATCAGGCTTCCTTGGAGGGAGTTCTGGGCCGCATTCCTTGCTCTGGGCCCACGCAGGGGTGTCCTTGGGCCTAGGAGCTGTGTGCCTTGTACCATTCTGAGAAGTCCCTGGGACCCCTATCTTGTGGTTGCTCTGCTATATAGAGGGGACCCCAGGGACACCCAGGCCTATGCCCCTGGAGTCTCAGGTCACAGTCCACAGAAAAGGACTTTCCTCCCAGCTTGCATCTTGGGCCTCTCGGGGATCAGAGCTAGCTGGCAAGCAGACCCTTCCCCTTAGGCATGGTTCTGGGAGGGCAGGCCATAGATCTCGTGTCCAGCTTCTCTACCCTCCCCTTCCCCACACATATATAAGGAAGGGGCTGGGATGCCCCTAGTACATCTTTATGGTCTCATACCTGCTTGACAGCAGTAAGGATCAGGCCTTACTGTCCGCAGGCTGTGATACACAGGGGCTGGTCCCTGCCATGGAGAGCCTGCAGGAGGGCCTGGCTGGGCCAACGTGAACACAGGTTGGGGTGGAAGCTGAGAAGGCCCAGGAAAGACAACAGCTGGTGTCTGTGCACTGCTCCTTTTGCCCACAACAACTTGTGTCCTCCCCAGGTCCCTGTAGCCCAAGCAGGACCCTAGAGCCTCTGGAGCTCTCAAGAACCCCGGAGGTTTAAGCCTCAGAGGTTCCAGGGAGCTACACCCAAGAAATTAGGGTGCATTTGCTGAGTCCTAATCACTGAGAGGCACAATCATAAATACCATGTGTATTGAGCCCCTCCATCCTCGCCCTTCCATCCTCATCCTCTCTCCTCATCTCCGTCACCTCCATCATCTTCATCTCCAGCCTCAGCCCTTCTTTCCCCAGCCCTCTCTTCTTACCTCCCATGTTCATCACTTCCATCCTTACCCCTCCATCCTTGGCCCTGTGTTGCTGGGGACACCACAAGTACTGAATGGTGATCATGAACACCGTGATCACTGAGCACCTTCTAGCTCAGGGCAAGTCCCCCATGAGGACTAGCTGCCCTGCTATCCTTGCATTGTTCCCAACCTTACCTGGTCCAGCGTGACTGTCTGTCTTTCCCTGCCATCCTTGATCGTGTTGGACTGTGAGGCCAGGAATGCCTGTACCTGACATACGGGGGCCTCACCAATTCCTGGGCTGCCATCATCACTGCTTCTCTCACATCTCCTCCAGATGACATCCCCATCCGCACTTGGTTCCCCAAGGAGACCTTCTTCAGCTTCCAGACAGCAACTACAACTATGCAAGCGTGAGTGTAGAACACTCAGCCTTTCCACATCCTTGGCCCTGTCATGGTAGTGCTGCCCTGTTTGTGGACCTGGGGGACTTCCCCTCACCATCCTGTCCTGGTCACACTGTGTGCTTGGTCAGGGGTTCTGGGCTTTTTCTGCTGTTGCTACTGCTCTGCCCCATACATGCACCTCAAGTAGCACCCACCTCATTTTCTGTCCACCAGGGTTGATGATGGCTTTGGGGTGTCTGGAGGGCCTGGCATATACCTGAGTTCTGTCACGGCTCGTCATGGGGGGGTACCCTCTCCCACAGTGCCCATTCTACCTGGCATAAAAAAAAATTCCATTTCTGAAGCTTTGTCTGGAGTCTCAGCACAGTGCCCCCCCCACACTGTCCCTCTAGGCATGGCCTCAGGCCCAGGGCCAGCCCAGCCCAGTATTAGCAGCTGGTGACTGTGGCTGAGGTGACTTCCCTACCCCAGAAGCCCCAGGAACTAGCCCCTGGTAAGGTCCTGTTGGCAATGGGGCTGTTGGGGCCCAGGGTCTGTGATGCCCTGGCTAACTGCCCTCTCTCTCTCTCTTTGCTTCTGCCCACTGTGGCTCCAGCATCTCGTAAGTACCCTCTGAGACGCATCCCAGGGTATGGCCATTGTCCGGTGGGGGGGGCCTTCCTACCCCAAATAGGTCTGGACAGGCCAGGCGCTGGCTTCTGCTTTGAGGTAGGGAGTGCTGCACCTGAGGCCTGACCCCCAGCAGGTCCCGAGCCGCAAGCAGGACCTGCTGGGAGCCTGGGCCTTGGGCTGGGCTGCGCTGCCCCTCGCATCAGGCTGGGGGGCCAGGACCCCTCAGCCTGGCCCAGCACCTGCCCTGCCCGAGGGCCTGAACCTGCCTCCTGCCCAGGGCGGCTCTGTGACTGCAGCCCTTCCCCAGGGTGTTCAGGGGCCACGCAGAGAGGAAGCGTCGCAGGCGAGAGAATGAGTCCGCGTCTGTAATCCAGAGGTAGGGCCTGCTGGCCACTCGCCACCTTGTCCGTCTCCTCTGGGCCGAGGTCTGGGCCGGGTGGGGCGGGCGGCGGCGACTGGCCTGGCCCTGCTCTGGGACGCGCAGTGGGAGAGGGTTGGCCAGTCCACTGGCCTCACCCTAGGACCCAGATGGGCAGTCCTCCTCGTTCTGGCCCCTGAGACCCAGAGCTTCGAAGTAGTAGGAAGCCCACCTTCCTACCTTCAGGGCCAGGGCCAGAAGGGCCCATGCAGGGACATATGAGCAGGAGGACCACAGGGACATCATGGTGGGAGAGCCTGGCCGTCCTGGCACCACTACAGGACAGGATCCTTGGTGGTCTGGGAAAGAGCAAAGAGTTCTGGGGTGTGGGCCAGCAGGACATGGTGAGGTGGTAGGGTCAATGTGGGTGGAGGTGGCAGAGACTGGCTGTGTGAGTGCAGAGGACACATCCCTGGGAGGGGCTGAGAGCAGGCCAGGATTTTCATCTTCCTCCCGGGAGGCCTCAGCGTGAGAAGGGCTGAGTGGAGGTTGCCTTCGGAGGTGGCAGGTGGCGACTAAGAGCCAGAGAAGGTGCGGAGGGGGGGGGCAGGTAGATGCTGGACAGAGGCAGGAGGGCCATGGATAGGCAGGTGAAACATCCGTGCTCTCAGACCCTCCCCACCCTATCCCATGCTTCCTCCCGCAGGAACTTCCGCAAGCACCTGCGCATGGTCGGCAGCCGGAGGGTGAAGGCCCAGAGTAAGGCTGGAGTTGGGCAGGTGAAGGGGCGGCTGCTGTGCTTGCGGGGCTTTGCAGGCTACTATCTGCTCCCAGACTCCGCCTCCGCCCCGAAAGCTCCGCCCCCGTGGCGCTAGACCCCGCCCCCAGGATCCCACTCGAGCACTACCAGACTCCTCCCAGTAACCCTAGCGGCCCAAGACTCCGCCCTCTCCCCTGCCGGTCTCTAACTCTACCCCTGAGCACCTGTGGCCCTTCCTCACGCCCCACCCGCCCAGGCCCCGCCCCTCAAGGCTCCTCACCGGCCACGCCTCCATCGAGGCCACGCCCCTGCAGCCCTGTCCCCCTCTGGCTAATGCGGGTTTTGCTTTCACTGCAGCGGGTTTTGCTTTCACTGCAGCGTTCGCTGAGCGGCGCGAGCGGAGCTTCAGCAGGTCCTGGAGCGACCCCACCCCCATGAAAGCCGACACTTCCCACGACTCCCGAGACAGTAGGTGCCCGGCGCACGCCGGCCCACCTCCCCAGGCAACCATTCTCCCTGCTCTGCAGGCCTTCTGCGCTTTCGCTGTCAGCCTCAGTTTCCCACCTGTGAGATTCTCGTGGGTGGGACCAACTGAGATGGCAGCACGAGGGCTCAGGCTCACGCGGCAGCAGCAGTGCTGAAGACAGCGGTGCTAGGGTTCCAGATAGTGCCTCTGGCTAGCTGAGCACCGTGCCCAAGCCCCAGGGCTCCTGAGACCCCGGGGATCGGGGACCACAGTGCTGCTCCCCATATGGGAGCACTCGGGGTCCCACCCCAGTGTCTCACTGGCTATGAGCAGGCATCGTGGAGAGGTGCACACAGAGCCAGGCTGGGACAGGGGAGCGGTAGGTACCAGCCATCCTGTGACCCCCTTGTCCCCTCAGGTAATGATCTGCAGAGCTCCTGCTGTACGCTGGATGAAGACTTTGAGGGCCTGGACTGGGAGGCTGAGAAGGGGCTGGAGGCCGTGGCCTGTGACACAGAGGACTTTGTGCCCCCCAAGGTCATGGTGAGGCATGGGGCTCAGTGGGGCTGTGGGGGCCTCGGAGGGCTGGGGGATGTGCCTCACTAAGCAGCCCTGCCTCCTCCAGCTCATCTCCTCCAAAGTGCCCAAAGCCGAGTACATCCCCACAATCATCCGTAGGGACGATCCCTCCATCATCCCCATTCTCTATGTGAGTACTCCCGGGGTGGCACGGGACACACGGGACCCACAGAGCACAGATCTCATGGGGGCGGGGGAAGGTGGGACAATCCCTGTGGGAGAGACAGAGCCTTCCTGAGGAGGCACGTCCACAAGAGGGGCCCTGATGTGGCCTGTGTCTTTCCTCAGGACCATGAGCATGCAACCTTTGAAGACATCCTGGGTAAGTGCCCTCTGCTCCAGAGGAAGGGGCTGGGCAAGTGCTGGGCAGTCATCTTCCACTCTCCATCCACAGACGAGATTGAGAAGAAACTCAACATCTACCACAAGGGGGCCCGGATCTGGAAAATGCTCATCTTCTGCCAGGTAGGGCCGTCCAGTTCCAGCCCAGGTGGGGTCCCCCTATGCCAACCCTGTTCCAGCCCAGGAAGGACCCCCTATACCAGCACAGAAAAGGGGCTGCAGTGGTAGAGGCCCAGCAAGGGGAGGAGAAGTGAAGGGGACAGGTGTGTGGGAGAGATTGGGGCACAGGGGGCCTAAATGGAACCATCTGAAGGGGCTGCAGAAGCCCCTGCTCAAAGCACCTTCTCCCCAAAAGCCTCCCCCAGATCCTCCCTCACCCCAGTTGTCTCCTCACTATACAGGGAGGCCCAGGACACCTCTATCTGCTCAAGAATAAGGTGGCCACGTTTGCCAAAGTGGAGAAGGAGGAAGACATGATCCAGTGAGGGGAGCTGCTTTGGGGGGGTTCAGGACCTGAGACCTGAGTCCGGGCTGTCTTCTTCACAAAACCCTGCATGATGCTTCTCTGTAGACCTGCATGGCCCACTCCCTGTTTTCCCGGGGTACCTGGTCTTCAGCACCCCACGACCTGCTCCCTCCTCTCCTCTGGAGACCAAACTGAAGGCCTCTCATGGTCTCTCTCCTAAGCTTCTGGAAGCGTCTGAGCCGCCTGATGAGCAAGGTGAACCCGGAGCCCAACGTTGTCCACATCATGGGCTGCTACATCCTGGGCAATCCCAACGGGGAGAAGGTGTGAGCTCCCCTGGGGCACCCCTTCCCGTAGTGCCACAGGCCTGAGGTCCTGACAGGATGGGGCTGTGCTCTGCCTACACTCCTGCGCCCCTTCCCCACTCCCCCCCTTTACCATTGCCTTTCTTGCTTTCAGCTCTTCCAGAGCCTCAGGACCCTCATGACCCCATACAAGGTCACCTTTGAATCCCCCCTGGAACTGTCCGCCCAAGGTGAGTCCTCTGCTTGGACTCTATCTCCGGGTGAGTCTGGGGTCCACACATGGTCCCTTGCCCTCCAGGTGGTCTGAGGTCCCTCCCTGGTCCCCAGCCTCAGGGTGGGTCCAGGACCCCGCAGTCTCTTGCCCTTCTGGCAAGTCAGAGACCCCCACCTGGCCTCCTGCCTTACAGGTGGGTTTGGGGTCCCCACCTTGCCCCTGACCTTGGAGTGGGTCCAGGACCCCTGCCTGGCTCCCACTCTCTAGGTAGGTCAGGGGTCCCTATTTGGTGCTTGATCTTGGGGTGGATCTAGGACTCCCACCTGGCCCCCAACCTCACAGTGGGTCCGAGACCCCCACCTGGCTCCTACCCTGAAGGTGGTTCTGGGGTCCAGGGCCTGAGCCACCCTCATTCTCCAGGGAAGCAGATGATTGAAACCTACTTTGACTTCCGGCTGTACCGCCTATGGAAGAGCCGACAGCACTCAAAGTTGCTGGACCTTGACGATGTCCTGTGAGGCCGGCTGGCTGCTCAGGACCAGGCAGATGGGGCCAGGCCATTTTGGCCCCTGTGTCTCCGTCCTGGCCCAGCATGGAGCCACTTGAGGGCGATGCTCGCTCAGGTTCTCGCGGTCTGCTGCACTGGTCAGGGACCCCCAGCCCTGCCTGTGACCAGAAGCCTCCTTGGGCCATAGAACTAAGTGCAATTTCACACCCATGGGACGATGCCAAGTGCAGTGGCATTGCTAGTTAACTAGTTAAGCATATCGCTGCTAGTTAGCATGTGGATGGCGGCCCCTGGCCAGTGTGGCCAGACCACGGCCCGGCCGTCTTCATCACCAGCAGCAGTGAGCCTGGCTGTCTGCCCACGAGGGCCCCCAGGCCCCATTGTCCGCTCGGCCCCCTCCCCATGCTTCCTCTGACCTCAGCGGACCAGCAGGCAGTGGCGGGGAGCAGCCTCTTGTCTGGGACACTTGGGGCCTGTTCTGTAATGTCCTTTATCTGCTGAGAGAGTAGTTCCTGCTGAGTGAGCAAGTCCCAGCGGGGCTGACCAAGCGGGACTGGGTCCTGTCAGCTGGCAGGACGTTATTGCCTGCGCCCCAGTTGTGGGTGTGTGTCCAGAGCTTTCCAGGCCTTGTGAAGGTGGCCCTCCTGTATAGAGCTGGGGCTCGGGGGCAGGCCCCCCTTTTCTAGAGCCGGGCTTGAGGGTAAAGATAGGGGCTGGGCACCTGCGGCTTGGAACCATGTACGATATCCTTAGAGTGACATTAAATCTGACCTTCCGCTGCGCCTTGTGTGCCCTCTCCTACACCTCTCACCGCTGGATGGGATCGGGGGAAAACTCGAGACTGGAGATGACGAGGGGAGGGGATGACAGGAGAGGGTCCTAGCCTCATGCGGCCGCCTGCCTCACTACCAAACAACCTGCAGATGTCACATCTGGACTGGATTTAGGAATGGGCTCAGCCTAGCTTCCCGCTGGGCTGTGTTCCACATGTTGTCAAACCCAGGGACTAGCGGGGAGAGACCAGCCTTTCAGATCTGCAAACCAGGGAAGACAAGAGCCCCAGCGGGGCCACTGACCCCCTCCAAGTGGCCCTGAGCACCCTGACTCATCCCCTCCTGAGTCCCCTGGGAGACTGGGAAAGGAAATAGAAGTGACTGGTTCTGGTTTGGACAAGGTCATCCTTGAGGCCACCACCCTTTGCATCCCTGTCTGAGCTTTGCCGTTTGCCTGACACCAGTGGATCTCAGGAGTGCCCCCTTAGATACCTACCCAGCACCCAACCTTGCTCTGGGAAGCACTCTTTCAGCCTTGGACACCTCTCAGTGTTCATCCGGAGGATCTGGGAGGGGACAGCAGGAAGCAATGACTGACCTACCTAAGCGAGGTCTGAGTGGTCCAGGGGTCCCGGTACCCACGTCCACTAGCTGTGATGTTCACTCCCTCGAGGACACCCCGGGCTGGCCCAGCACCCTGCTGCTAGAGACGCCACAGAGAGCTGCAGGCCAGGTAGCCGTGGGATCCCAGCCTAGGGATCGTTCCCATCGAGACTGTGCCTAGAAAACCTGGGCAGGCAGGCATGTGCTCACATGGGGTCAGCATGGGCTGGAACCACTCCAGGGCAGCACCTCCAGCACCTGACAAGCACCCAGAGATTGTAAAGAGAACACCACCTTTTCCAAAGGAGACACATCACTGAGGCAGAAACCAGACGGGAAATTAGCAGCACATGAGAGAAGGGCTTGCTGGCTGCCGCTGAGTCAGAACTGACCCCCCAGCAGGTTTTCAGAGACAGTAAATTGCTCCGTAGGAGACTGCCCATCCTTCTGTGGAGCAGCTGGTGACTTTGAACCGTGTGCCTTCGGGATTGCAGCACAGCTGAGCATGAGCCAAGGATTAGGGTCCATGATAAAGAGTTTTTATAAACTGATGAAAGGAAAATGCCAGTAGTGGAAGATGAGCACAAACATCAGACACAGTAGAAGTGGCCAGCGTGGGGCCAGGCCAGGGAGGTACTGGGAGCCAGCAGGCCCCGTGGGCAGAGTGGGGCAGGGCAGGAAGCGATGGGGCACTGTTGGCAAAGCAGTGGATAGGGAATTGGGCCTGTAGGGCACATCTGGCAACGGCTCCTGTATGACACTGGCCCCAAGGAGGTTCAGCTCTATGCAGGGATGTGTGTGTGGGTGAACTGACCATGAATTTTCACGGACCAGGGCAGCATAGTGAGTGGGCAGCTTAGAGCCCCCCAAGTCTGCTGTTTAAACCAGGGGGACCTGGATCCCTGATCACAGAGCATGTTGAGTCCTCCCTTGCACTTCGGCCTTCAGAATGTTTCCAAGATCACGTGGGAACGAGGCAGACCTACTGTGTGGGCAGCTCGCCCTGCGGACCAGGAGCATTTGCCCCAGTCCATGCGTGTAGCCACTGGGCACACTGAGGGGAAGTCCAGGAAGGGAGCCGAGCCTTGAGAAGCCAAGCAGGACCCTTGTCACCAACATCCAAGGGCTGCTGAGGTGTGGCCCTCATTCTGTTAGAACAGTAAACACTACTAAATAAACACTGTGAGCCCTATCCGCACATCCTCCCCTCCCTCCCCAGGAAGTGCTACCAAACCAAAGACAGTTTGAATCTACCAGCTGCTCTGGGGGAGAGAGGGCAGTGTTCTCCTCTGTGATTTGTTCACTGTCTCTGAAAATCTGTCTGAGGGCCATGGAATATAACCCACAGGTGGCTTAGAGCTCCAACCAGTTGGCCTGCAAGTTAGGGAGGGAGGTGCCTTTAGCTCTTGGGGGAGGCTAGCCCCATCAGCACTGCACGGGGGAGGGACTGTCACTGGGCAGTGTGTGGGGCCGAGGAAGGGCCACCCTAGTCCTGTGCTGGGAAGGTGCGGAAGGACCAGGGTGGCCCTTCCCAGACATGTGGAGCACTAGGAGGGGCACGTGCACACACAGGGTGAACAGACACAGCCTTGACTTTGGGAGGAGAGAAGGGACGCAGTAAGCGTGGACCCGTGAGTCCATGACCCCTGTGCTGCAAATAGTGTGCGCTGGGCTTGTCCCCATGCTGGAGCTTCTCTGTAAGGCACCCTGCCCCTCCCACCGGCCCTTCCCCTGGTCATGCGCGGACAGCTCACCCTCTCCCCTGCATCCACCAGCTTTCTTCCAACCATGATGCCCCAGCTCCAAGCACAGCACCTCCTCCCCAGTGTCCTTTCTCATGGCAGGAGGTCAGAAAGGCAAGGGACTCAAACCAGGGGGCCACGAGATGAGTGTGAACTTCATCCTAAGGGCCATGGAGAGTTGGAGGCTCCTGCCCAGGTCGGTGTGCCCCAGATGCCTGGGTTGTCGCTGGAGTCCCCCAGAGCAGAGAAGGCAAGGGAATCCACTCCCACCATCCTGAAGAGCTTATAGTCTGAAAGTCTTAGCCAGTGAACTAAGGGCAACAACACCAACAACAAATCGTAGAGATTGAACAGACAGAAAGCTCACAGACAATATGATTGCACAAAATATCCTCTGGGGATCTATATACAGGTTCCTCCAGTTCATATGTGCGTTTAGCAAGGTCACAGATACAAGGTCAACACAAACACCAGTCATAAAAGATCCATTTTTGCCGATTTCAAAGAAAGGTGACCCGACAGAATGTGGAAATTATCAAACAATATCATTAATATCACATGCAGGCAAGATCCTGTGGAAAATGATCCAGAAATGACTGGAATAGTCCATCAACAGAGAACTGCCAGATGTGCAGGCTGGGTTTAGAAGAAGGCATGGTGCAACAATGAATGAATGGAAATCGAAAGTCTGTAAATTTTCATTAACGTTAATAAAAAAATTTTAAAAAAAACATCAGGGTACTAGGGATATTATAGCTAATGTTAGATGGATCTTGGCTAAAAGCAGAGAATACCAGAGGAATGTCTGTCTGTGCTTTATTGACTATGCGAAGGCATTTGGCTGTGTGGATCATAACAAAGGATGGCTGACTCTGAGAAGAATGGGAATCCCAGAACACTTGATTGTGCTTATATGAAACCTAAACTTGGACTAGGAGCAAGAAAAGAGCAAGGAGACACTGCATGGTTCAAAATTGGGAAGGTTATCCATACCTTTCCAACCTGTATGCAGAGCAGATTATCCGGGAGGCTGGGCTCTATGAGGAGAATCGTGGCGTTAGGATTGGTGGACGATCTAGCAACAATCTGCATTATGCAGATGACACAACCCTGCTCACTGAAACTGAGGAGGACCTCATGCACTTACTGCAGAGGGTCAAGGACTGCAGCCTTCAATATGGACTGAGGCTCAATGTCAAGAAGACAAAAATGCTCACCACTGGACCAATTGGTAGCATCAGGATGAATGGCGAAGAGATTGAGATTGTTCACAGCTTCAGTTTGCTCGGCTCCACGGTCAACACTTTTGGCACCAGTAGCCAGGAAATCAAAAAACGTATTGCGATGGGAAAGTCTGTGGTTAGGGACCTCTCTAAAGTACTCAAGAGCAACGGTGTCTCTCTGGAGACTAAGGTGCACCTGATACAGGCCATGGTTTTTGCAATCACTTGTCATGCATCAGAGAGTTGGACAATGACTTGGGAGGATAGAAGGAGAATTGACGCCTTTGAGCTGTGGTGCTGGAGAAGAGTATTGAATGTACCATGGACTGCCAAGAAAACAAACAGATTCATCGTAGAGAGGGTTAAACCAGGTTGCTCCTTGGAGGCAAGGATTCTGGGGCTTCGTCTGACATACTTTGGACATGTTGTAAGGAGAGACAGGTCTTTGGAGAGGGACATCATGCTGGGTAGAGTAGAGGGACAGCGCAGGAGGGGAAGACCCTCTATGAGGTGGATTGATTCAGTGGCTGGGGTAATTCGGGATGGGTGTGTCAGAGGCAATGATATTGGCACAGGATAGAGCACGGTTTAGAGCTGTTGTACATACGGTCGCTATGAGTTGCAAACGACTCGACGGCACATAACAACAACAACATACACCAGCGATATTT